AGATCCCGAGAAGTGCAATTCCCGAGCCGAAGCTCTGCCCGCAAGGAGTCCGGTTTTTGTGAAGATCTTCCAGATCTGCCGAAGAATACTACTTCTACAAGCCGTAGTGATGTCCGATCATCTTTTGATCAAGTGAGTGTGTGATTACTTTCTTCTAACGCATAATTATGAAGTATTTTATACGAAATACATGTTATGTGTATATTTTGTTGTTATATGTGTGAAGGTATATTCACTTTCTTCTATCTCATAGATATGATTTGTTCTCTATGAAATACGTGTTACGTGTATGTGTCTCATCTGTTGTTTGGAATATGTATTGAATGAGAATGTTATACAGGTTTTAAACTATGTATAAAAATATATATTTTTATCTACTAATATGTCGGGTAGAACATGGGTAGATAGTTGTGTGATAAACAGATGAGAGGCCACGATGTTGTTTTTGATTTAGTCATCTAGCGGAGTTTAGATGATGACCACAGACTTTTCTAGACAGTCCTGTGGAATGCTAGCAGATTCGCCACCTCTAGGTTTTAATGAACTTGGGTGTTCATTCGCTGTACTCCATCCCCCTCATGGTTGCCTTAGTTGACATATATTGTCGGGAAACCCCCGAATGCATGTGTTGTCGCCCCGATGAAATATTCTTAGACTAGGTCCCTTGTGTTAGTTATTTTAGGGATGTAAACTGAGAATAACGGGAATGGGTAATTGGGTTATTGTTGGTTGATGAAAATTAATTTAATCATTTATTGTGGGTTGAAAACCCTATATGCTCACCAGGCTCCCAAGCCAAACCCACTCTGTTTATTTGTATTACAGGAAGTGGCGCAAGAGCATAAGATGGATGAATTATCAACTTGTTTTGTTTACAAGTTTGTATATGTATATAATGGTTGAATGACTTGTAATGTTATCGTTTATGCTTTATAGTCTGTATCGGAAAATGACATCCCGAGTTTTGATTATATAATGAAAATACATTTCTTTTATGAAATGCTTTGGTAAATAGTATTTTATCATGTTTTGTTTTTGAGAACAAATTCCGCAACTGTTTTAATCAAAGGATTACTCTGAAATCATTTTAAAAGCATAAATTAAACTGGTCTTTTCTAGCCGTGATTTTGGGGATGCCACAGTTGGTATCAGATCATTAGTTTAAGCAAACTAGGAATTTGTAGGATTTCTAGACTTAAACTTAAAAACTTAAGTGAAATTTTGAGATGTGTGTCTATTATGTTTTAGACACGAGCACTAGTTTATTTTAGGAAAGTTTCCTAAAATGCTTTTATGTGCTAAATGTTATATGTTGCCATATATGATATTATTTGTTATGATCTATGGCCTGTTGCCGACCGGATCTGGAAACCTTATGTGTGTAGGTTTCTAAGAGTATGTTTACGATATTAGAACTATAATGTAAACGTTTCGGAGTGATAAGGATGATTTGAATATCTATCGTGAATAAGGATCTAATTTCACCTTATTCGGTGTATAGATCAAAAATGGTGAGACCAAGAAGTGGAGTTGGAAATGCTGATGAAAACAGGAATCAACCACCAGTGATTGAGCAAATACTTGTTGTAGCTGCAGCACCTGAGCCAATAACAATGGCTGGTGTACAAATGATGATTCAAACAATGTTGGATCGTCAAATGGAGGAGACTAGGCGGTTGCTTCAACGGAATCGTGAACAACTGTTAATTCAAGTGGAAAAGCCCGAAGTGAATGAAGGGAACTCGGAAGGTGGAATCTTCAGTGGGTCTGTTGGTCAAGCCAACCCACCGATAGTTAGGCAAAACAACCATGTTGGAAGGAATGATGGAATGGGATGCATGTACAAGGACTTTCTGACTTGCAAACATCAACCTTCGCTGGAAAGGAGGACCCGATCGGAGTGTTGGATTGGATCTCCGAAATGGAATTAGCCTTCATCACTTGTGGCTGCAGAGGCAAGTTGAAGACTACCTTTACAGTGCATGAGTTCCGAGGTGGAGCCGTTCGTTGGTGGAACACTCTAGGGAAGAATTTAAGCCCTAATGAGCCACTATAATTGTCGTGGGAAGAGTTCTTCGCGCAGTTCAAGTGCAAGTTCTGCTCGGCTCAAAATCTGTTGGAATTGGAAAATAAGTTTCTGACATTGACGAAAGGAAGCATGTCAGTTGATGAATACACTAATAACTTAACAGACAAGATGGGCATCATTCTAGATAAGCTGACAAAGGTTGACCGGTACGCAAAGGGACTCTCATGGGAGTACACAGTGGTAGTTCGTCAGGCACCTATTCTAGAGGCAGCTATTTGGGCTGCCAAGTCTGTTGAGGACATGATCAAGGGAAGAACCTCTAGCAAGGTTGAAGTTGGCGAGAAGAGAAAGTTTGAAGGAACTTCAGGTTCCAATAAGAAAAGCAAATTTTCGAAGTCTGATTCAAAAAATTTTGGAGGAAAAGGAGGCGAAGCAAAATGGTATCAGAAGTGAAAGAAAAAGCACTTTGGGAAATGTAGTGAGGATGTAACCTACTACTAGTGTGGAAAAATTGGGCATTTTTCCAATGAGTGTCCGTCCAACAAAAGGATGTGCTTTGGTTGTAACGAGGAAGGGCACATTTTGAAAGACTGTCCGAAAAAGAAGGAGGCAGCTAAGCCCAACATTCCACCAAAGTCGAAGGCGGGAGCCTTTCAAATGACACTTGAGGCTGCGAAGGATGAAGTTGATGTCGCTTTAGGTACCTTTCTTGTAAACGAATTACTTGCTCAAAATTTGTTTGATTCTGGAGCCAACTACTCCTTTATTTCGCATGAGTTTGGTAGGAAACTAGCTTTGACTGTTGATAGACTAGATAATGCTTTATTAGTCGAAGTTGCCAGTGGCAAGTTTCTACCTGTTAGCCATCATATGAAAGACATCTTAATCGACCTTAATGGGAATCAGTTTCACGAGGAATTATTGCCTATCGAACTTAATGGTTTCGACATCATTCTGGGAATGGATTGTCTTAGCGCCAATGATGCCGAGATTTTATGCAAGAAGAAGATAGTAAAAGTAAACGCGCCAGGGAAGGAGTCATTTATGGTGTACGGGGACAAACTTCAAGTAAATTCTGGAATCATTTCCCTAATGAAAGCCAGGAAGTGTTTGACCAAGGGATGTACATCATATCTAGCATTTGTGATTGATGCTAAGAAGGAAAAGAAGGTGATGCAGAGTATTCCAGTGGTGTGTGATTATCTGGAAGTATTTCCCGAAGATCTTCCTGGATTACCACCTGATAGACAAGTGGAGTTCAGAATAGACTTGTTACCAGCAACCACGCCAATAGCAAAAGCACCTTATCGATTAGCACCGACGGAGATGAAGGAGCTGATGATGCAACTTCAGGAGTTATTGGACAAAGGTTTCATTAGACCTACTTCATCACCCTAGGGAGCTCCGGTGTTATTCTTGAAGAAGAAAGATGGAAGTATGAGAATGTGCATCGATTACAGAGAGCTGAACAAGGTAACGATAAAGAATAGATATCCGTTGCTGAGGATTGATGACCTATTTGATCAATTGCAAGGTTCGAGCAATTTCTCGAAGATCGATCTAAGGCCAGGGTATCATCAGTTGAAGGTAAGAGAACAAGATATCGAGAAAACTGCATTCAGAACGCGATATGGGCACTACGAGTTCTTGGTTATGTCGTTTGGACTAACCAATGCTCCAACATCATTCATGGATTTAATGAATAGGGTTTGTAATCCGTTCCTTGATAAATCCGTGATAGTGTTCATAGATGACATTCTGATTTAATCGAAAAGCCAATAGGAGCATGATAGACACCTGCGAGAAGTGTTAGAAGTCATGAAGAATGAGAAGTTGTATGCAAAGTTCTCCAAATGTGATTTTTGGATTCGTGAAGTCCAATTCTTGGGTCACGTGGTCAACCAGGAAGGGATAATGGTTGATCCATCAAAGATTGAAGTTGTGATGAAGTGGGAACAACTGAAAAGTCCCACGGAGATCCGAAGCTTTTTAAGATTAGCCGGATATTACCGAAGGTTTATCCAAGGCTTTTTTTCGATTTCTACTCCATTAACAGCTTTGATCTACAAAGGAGCTACTTATGCTTGGAGTGATAAATATAAAGAAGCATTCGAGAAGCTAAAGAAGAAGCTATGCGAGGCACCAATACTTTGTTTACCCGATGGAGTTGAAGACTTTGTTGTCTATAGCGATGCGTCTGGTGTTGGGTTGGGTTGTGTTTTGACCAACGTTGCAGAAATCAGGATTAATCGCTTGGCGTTCTACAATGGATTAGGATTAGGGGTGGTTGAAGGTAATTGGTCAATATCGGTCAACGACGCGCTTGGTGGTCTTGGCGGTCAACGACGGTTAATGAAAGTCAAAATTAGTCAAATGTCAAAGGTAGTCAAAATTATAAAAAAAAAAGACTCCAAAGGCATTTAAATGTCAATTCGTCTAATCCTAGTATCACATTTCATCGCCGCTTTTGTCTTCGTCTCTTTAATCCCTTGAAGCGAAGGTAAGAGCTTACCGGCGAATCGGCAATACAGCTGAAGCCGACGCCCACAAGCCTTCGACGAACCACCAACGGATACTCATTCTTCAGGTATATGATTTCTGTTTCTCGCATCGAATTCGTTTTCCTCCAAAACAAATTTCATATTTATCGTATCTGAATTCTCCCATATGGGATTTTTGTTTCTTCGTTTGTCCCTGTGTATGTATTTCTTTCTATTTCTCCCATCTAAATTTTGTTTTCTTCCAGCAACCTTGAGGCAATATGTGTTTTTCATTTTTTTCTAAAAATTGTTGAATACTCGATTCTGTTTGCTGGGTAGCAATTCTGTTTGCTGGGTACCACTTGTTTGCAGGGTAGCAACTTGCCATTTAGCCTCTCAGGAAATATAGTCTGTAATTGCATCTGTTCTTGATTTATGCAGCCAAAATTTTTATTAACTTGCTATTATCTAGTTATTATATTGGCTTTTAATGAGAATAAGAATTAGTTATGCTGATTTTTTATGATTTGTTGTAGTTTAGGTGCATGTTTGTTGTGTAATTGTGTTATTAATTTATTATGAATTTATGATTGATTGATTTCTGAAGATATATGCTGTGATGTTATGATTTCTGATGCATTTTTTATGTCTTTTTCTGGTGTATATAACAGTTTCCAATAATGACATCCAAAAATTCGACTTCACCATCAGTGGGATCAACCGCGAGCGGTGTTCATCAACGGAACTCAGATGACATTGGTTGGGAATATGGGTTTTGCCCGGATAAAAACAAAATGGATATAAGTCGATGTCCAAACTCTACAAAAGATTGAAACAACATATTAGTCATGTGTCGGGAAATATTAGTGAAATGTAACTTGTGTGGAAAAGTGTTTACCGGGGGGTTACTAGATTGAAACAACATATTAGTCATGTGTCGGGAAATATAAGTCGATGTCCAAACTCTACAAAAGATGATCAATTGAGAATGCGAAATTTTATTAACGAAGGGAAGATAAAAAAGAAAGCTAAAATCGAACATGATAAAGCCTTAAGATCGGAGGCAATACAAGTGTTAAATGATAGTGTTGAAATGGATGAAATAAAAGATTCCTTAAAGTCGAAAGCACCAAGTTATATAGGCCCCATGGATGGCTATGCAAACAAAATAAACCCTGAAATTATGAAGGGAAAAGGAAAAAAAAAGTTGATCTTAACGATGTTGTTCGGAAAGAAAGAATTTTAGCATATCATAAATTCATTAGTAGGTGGGCATATAAATCTGCAATTCCTTTTCATGCACTGGAAGATGATAACTTCAAGATGATGTTGGAGGTTGTTGGCCAATTTGGAACAGGGCTCCCACCTCCTACCAAATATTCTTTGACTGACCCGCTTCTAAAGCTTGAGGTTGAAAGAACAAAAAGTTTAGTGAAAAGAAACAAAGAAGAATGGAAAGAGATTTGATGCTCGATCATGACATATGCTTGGTCTAATAGAAAGAGAAGAAGCATTATGAATTTATGTGTAAATTCAAGAATGGGTACCGTTTTTATATCATCAAAATAATGTTCCAATAAATCACATACAAGTTAGTACATGTATGATTATGTGGAATCTTGCATTCAACAAGTTGGTCCCGGTCATGTTGTTCAAGTTGTGACCGATAATGCCACGAATAACATGGGAGCTGCAAAGTTACTACAAGAAAAAAGACCAACTATTTTTTGGACATCATGTGCGACACACACAATTAACCTTATGCTCTAAGGTATTTATATTTTTTTTTATTACATTATTTACTTTTTTACATGTCTTATTTTATACTATAATTCGTTAATTTGTTATATAATATTTTTTTTCAAGGTATTGGTGGACTTCCAAGTTTTAAGAAAGTCTTAGACCAAGCAAAGAAACTAACCATCTTCATTTATGCTCACCACAAAACCTTGGCTAAGATGAGAAACCACACCAAGAAAAGGGAAATTATCCGACCGGGAGTCACGAGATTTGCTTCCGCCTTTCTAACATTACAAAGTTTATCCGAAAAGAAGGAGCAACTGAAAAATATGTTATCTAGTAACGAGTGGGAGGAATGCAAATTTTATGGAACACCTAAAGGAAGAGCCTCATATGGAACAGTGACAAGTCTTCAGTTTTGGTCCAATGTGACACAATGTTTAAAAGTGTTTTCCCCTTTGGTGAAAGTCCTTCGAATGGTTGATGCGGATTGGAAGCCCTCAATGGGTTTTGTTTACGGGGAGCTTAAAGTAGCAAAAGAAGAAATTATAAAATCTTTGGGTGGTAACAAGAAAGCTTACAAGCCTATTATAGATATCATAAACCACAAGATGAAAGGTAGGCTAGATTCAAAATTACATTTGACGGCTTATCTTTTGAATCCTTATAATCATTATAAGGATTTCCAACTCCAACATGATCCCGACGTAATGGATGCGGTTCTTGAATTTTTTGATACATTACTTTGTGCAGATTTTGAGAAGCAAAGACAAGTTGTGATGACAGATTTACCAAAATACAAGCAAAAAGTTGATAGATTTGGATCGGATCTTGCAATTAAAGGTTGTATGGTGAACAATGCCGACTTTGATCCGGGTAATGTGATTTTTGTTTATTTTAGTAATTTATAAAATAAATTTAATAATGTGTTTTTGTTTTAAAATTATAGCAAGATGGTGGGGACTTTTTGGTAGCTCAACTCCTCATTTGAAAAGGATTGCAATGACAATTCTTTCTTTAACTAGTAGTTCATCGGGTTGTGAAAGAATATGGAGCACGTTTGAAGCGGTTAGTTATAAAGTTGTAATTTTTAAATATCAAGAACGCTTTTAACCTTTTTTTTATGTCTACTTTTATAGGTACATACAAAGAAACGTAATAGATTGGAGAAAAATAGATTGAAGAATCTTGTTTATGTTCAATTCAATGCTAATCTAATGGAAAAAAACAAAAAGACAAAAGGTAGGACTTTGGAAGTACTTTTAGCAAATGATTCTCATGCAGCTCAAGAATGGATGATAGATGGAGATGACGGTGATGGAGATGAAGTTGACCCCGAATCAGTGATGGAAGCAATTGATGAAGCTCTTGGGACAAATAATAATCAAGTAACCCGTAAAAGTTCAACACCGAGAGAACTTTTTGATGAAGATTTCGAATCTGACAATGAAGAGCAAATGTTTGAAGAAGATGAATATGAGTTGGATGGAGTTAAAATAGTGGAAGAACTTGAAGATTAAAAGAATATGGACATTTAAATATATGAAAATGTCTGTTTCTATTAGTATTAAACTTATTATGGACTTGTAATATGATGGATTATGACTTAAATGTTTAAATACTAGTTATGACTTTTTTTTATGGTTATTTGCTTAGCATATATTTAATTTTTTATTAATAAATAATGGTCCCCGATTAATCCCCATCGAGACCGATTAATCCCTTCACCCTAGTCGACCGTCGAGCTACCGTCGAGCGATTTCTGCAACCTTGGTTTTGACTGAAATAGAAAAGGTGATAGCATATGCATCCCGACAACTGAAGGAGCATGAAAAGAATTACCCGACTCATGATTTGGAGTTGGCAGCGGTAGTTTTCGCTCTGAAAATATGGAGGCATTACCTCTATGGCACGAAATGCAAACTTTTCACTGATCATAAGAGTCTCCAATATCTCTTTAATCATAAAGAATTAAATATGAGGCAACGATGCTGGCTAGAGTTACTCAAGGACTACGACTATGAGATACTTTACCACCCCGGTAAAGCTAATTTTGTCGCTGATGCTCTCAGTCCGAAAGTCAATCTTAAAAGAAGGAGGCTAAGAGAGTTGAGAATTGAAGTTGCCTCAAAATTTGTGGAGAGTATAAAGAAAGCTCAAGAAGATGCTTCTGAGAAAAATGACCGAAAGGAGGAAAGTTTGGGAAAAACGTCGGTGTTTGGTACAAACGGTCATGGACTGAAGGTATTCCAAGATCGTATTTGGGTACCTAAGTCAGGAGGAATTAGAGATCTTCTGATGGAAGAAGCTCACAAAACCATGTACTCGATTCATCTTGGTAGCACTAAAATGTATAAGGACCTGAAACTCTACTATAGGTGGCCAATGATGAAGCTTGATCTTGCAAAGTATGTGGCCGAGTGTGTGACTTGTGTGAGAGTCAAGACACAACATCAGAAACCATACGGGAGTTTAGAACCTTTACCTGTACCTATGGGTAAATGGGAAGACATTGCTATGGATTTTGTCACTTAACTACCCAGAACAAAGAATGGTCACGACATGATTTAGGTGTCCGTTGATCGATTCACCAAGAGTGCGCATTTCATAGTATCCAATGAGAAATGGTTTATGGAAAAGCTTGCGAATTCTTATGTGAAGGAAATTGTGAGGCTTGATGGTGTTCCGTTAACGATAGTATTGGATCGTGATAGCCGTTTCACCTCAAGATTTTGGAAAAGTCTACAAGAGGAATTGGGTACCAAGTTGTGTTTAAGTACAACTTACCATCCACAGACTGATGGTTAGAGTAAACGAATAATAGAAACACTTGAAGATATGCTGAGAGCATGTACCCTGGAATTCCAAGGTAATTGGGATGAACATTTACCTTTGGTAGAATTTCCTACAATAATAGTTTCCACTCGAGCATAAAGATGGCACCTTATCAAGCTTTGTACGAACAGAAGTGTCGTACGCCGTCTTGTTGGCTTGAGGCTGGAGAAAAGCAGTTTATGGGACCTGAGATGGTCCGTTAAACTGCTTAGATGTTGAAAGTGATCATGGAAAGAATGTTAGCAACTCAAGATCGTCAAAAGAGCTATGCTGACAAAAAGCAAAGACCGATGACTTTTGAAGTTGGGGATTCAGTTTTACTTAAAGTCTCACCGTGGAAGGGACTTATAAGATTTGGTAAAAGGGGAAAGTTGAGTCCAAGGTTTATTGGACCGTTTAAAGTTCTTTAGAGAATTGGGAACCAAGCTTACAAGCTCGAATTACCCAAAGAACTGAATGGAATTCATAACACTTTCCATGTGTGTTATTTGAGGAAGTTCATGGGAGAAGTTCTTGATATAATTCCAATTTCTGAATTGAGAATTGATGAAAACAAGAGGTCAATTGAAGAACGAGAGACAATTGTTGACCGATAGACTAAAAAGATTCGATGCAAGATGGTCGAATTAGTTCTTTTCTGTTGGAAACATACGAATGGGTCAAATCTCACCTGGGAAACAGAGAGTGACATGTTGAGTCGCTATCCGCATTTGTTTGTTGATATGTGGTTCCAAGGATGAAATCATCCTAAGGGGGAGAGAATTGCAACGTCTGCGTTTCCAAGCTAGGCATTATCATTGATGTAATAGTCTAGGTTAACCCTTGCAACTCTTTTTGGAGTATTAATGATGACATATTTGAGTATTATGTGAATTATGTGTTTATTTTCTTAATTATTATAATTTAATGGATTAAGAATAAAATAAGCATCAAATTTGAAGTGTGGGATAAGCCCGATATCTTTGCATAAAGATGTAGTGGTTGAAACAAGGATTCTGAAGATATAAAGAATGCCGAAATCCGAGTTATAACGAAGAAGTTATGACATGTAAAAGTTTCGCGACAGAACTGGCAACGCTGAATGACGTAAAAAGTGAAATTTACGTTAGAGCGATATTTAGCCTTAGTGATCTAAACGAAAATCGTAGATTTCGTTAAACCGAGACTGTGCATAAAGAAGAACGCCCAAATCTGACTTCGTATGAGGAAGTTAAGATTTTTCTAAGTTTCGACTTAGCAGTATGCAGCCTGAATACTCAATTTGAGACCGAGCGTTTTTAGCCTAAACAATCTAAACGAGAATCAAAGATCTCGTTAATTTTAGTGAAACGATGAAAAGATAGGCAAAAACGGACGTCGGATGAAGAAGTTATTAATTTATAACGGAGTTTTCCTATCCCAGCCTACTAAAAATAAATAATAAAAATAAAAGTCCAAATTAGCCGACAGAGTCTAAATGAAAGTTGTAGAGCATAGTCTCACCTACACGGGGTTATAAAGAATGTCGAAAACGGAGTTCGTATGAAGAAGATATGAATATTTGAAGTTTATTAAATGTTTTCAATATTTAATTTAAATATAAAATAACCGATATTATCCATGGGGGAGTCAGCGAGCTGATCCACATTACGCCCAGTGTAATGTAATTTACGCCCAGCGTAAATCGGGTTTCATCCCCCTATAAAAGGATGTCGAGGGCAGCCGATTCTTTTGCTCATTTCTTCCCTTTCTCTCGTGTTTTTGCATCGTTTTTCGTGCAAGAATTATCCCGAAGCCCCGGTATCATTCCCGACCCCGAAGCAAGTCCTGAAGCCCTAAAAATCCCGAGAAGTGCAATTCCCGAGCCGAAGCTCTGCCGGCGAGGAGTCCAGTTTTTTTGAAGATCTTCCAGATCTGCCGAAGAATACTACTTCTACAAGACGTAGTGCTGTCCGATCATCTTCTGATCAAGTGAGTGTGTGGTTACTTTCTTCTAACGCATAATTATGAAGTATTTTATACGAAATACGTGTTATGTGAATATTATGTTGTTATATGTGTGAAGGTATATTCACTTTCTTTTATCTCATTGATATGATTTGTTCTCTATGAAATACGTGTTATGTGTATGTGTCTCATCTGTTGTTTGGAATATGTATTGAATGAGAATGCTATACAGGTTTTAAACTATGTATAAAAATATATATTTTTATCTACTAATATGTCGGATAGAACATGGGTAGATAGTTGTGTGATAAACTGATGAGAGGCCTCGATGTTGTTTTTGATTTAGTTATCTAGCGGAGTTTAGATGATGACCATAGACTTTTCTAGACAGTCCTGTGGAATGCTAGCAGGTTCGCCACCTGTAGGTGTTAATGAACTTGGGTGTTCATTCGTTGTACCCCATCCCCCTCATTGTTCCCTTATTTGACATATATTGTCGGGAAACCCCCGAATGCATGTGTTGTCGCCCCGATGAAATATTCTTAGACTAGGTCCCTTGTGTTAGTTATTTTAGGGACGTACAGTGAGAATAACGGGAATGGGTTATAGGGTTATTGTTGGTTGATAAAAATTAATTTAATCATTTATTGTGGGTCAAAAACCCATATGCTCACCAGGCTCCCAAGCCTGACCTACTCAGTTTATTTGTATTACAGGAAGTGGTGCAAGGCATAAGATGGATGAATCATCAAGTTATTTTGCTTACAAGTTTGTATATGTATATATTTGTTAAATAACTTGTAATGTTATCGTTTATGCTTTATGGTCTGTATCAGAACATGACATCCCAAGTTTTGATTATATAGTGAAAATACATTTCTTTTATGAAATTCTTTGGTAAATATTATTTTATCACGTTTTTTTGGGAACAAATTCCGCAACTATTTTAATCAAAGGATTACTCTGAAATCATTTTAAAAGCATAAATTAATCCGGTCTTTTCTGGCCGTGATTTTGGGAATGTCATACAATTCACATAACTTCGGAACACATAAAGCAGGCACGTAAGGCATCCTCCTAGATCCTTAGTCCTATTCTAGCATGTTGTTCTACTGAAACTGATAAACATAGTATAACATAGTATGGGTACTTTGGGGAATACTTACTTGAGCTCGGCCGGTCGCGCACATCACACACTTCGTTCTTTCTTAAAACTCTTTACTTAATATTTTAGAAAATGTTTTCTTTTTTTTCGAAATCCTTTAATCTCTTGATTTGAGTTCAGTCACTCTCGAAGGTGTGTTCGAATCCCTCAAACTAGGGCTTTGATACCAACTTGTAATGACCCAATTTTCAAGCCCAAAAATTTCATTTAAAATAAGTGGTTTGTAAAATATTTATAGCAAAACATCATCCGATCATATCATTTCATAAAACATATTACGTGTCTGAAAATCCAAAACAAGAAAATAATAATAATGTCAGAGTAGAGTCCCAGAACATCTCATAATGCGGAAATCCAAAGTGTGTGTGTGTGTATGATGTGCCCCTATCGCGCCAGCTCTTTCCCCTTCGCTGAAGAGGTACCTGAAACCAAAACTGTAAGGATGAAGCTTAGTGAGTCCCCCCATCATAACACATACCATACAATCACATCACATACTGTAACAGCCCGGAATTTCAGGTATTGCTTTAATATTATTTTTGGGGCATTTTAGGAAGGGACTCGGCGAGTTGGAGCCAGACTCGCCGAGTAGGACCACAGACTTGGTCGCGGGTTCGCGACTGGACTCGACGAGTCCAGATATGGACTCGGCGAGTCGACGCTGTTCAGCAGAAACCCTAGCCGTTTGGTTTTGGATCGTATATAACGCCCCATATGCCGTCATTGTCCGTCTTTTAGCCGATTGAGAA